TGGAGAAACGAATAAAGAAGAAAAGTAAAAAATGGTGAAAAAAAGAAGTGGAAAAAATAAAAAATAAATTAATAAAATTAAAACAAAGGGAAAAAGGACTAAATCACTTGTTGGTTTTGATTAACTCTATTTAAATAACTTTTATGTATTATAATGTGCGGAAATGTTACAATAAATAAAGGTTGCAAGCCACAACTATTAGTTTGTAATGACAAAATATCATTTATGAACATACAAGTAAACCATTAATTGCTATGAAACAAAACATACGCATTAAATTTCCGCAGCTAGGTTAAAAAGCCAGAAAACAAAAGAAACTGAGACGAATGATCAAAATTGGAACATGATTAACTGCAATGTAATTAAGATGCCAGTAATACCCAAGAATATAAATCGGTAATAGTCCCATATCTCTCAAAATGTTTGAATTAACAATTGACTAAAGTCACAAAAACGAAAAACCAAAAATTTCCATAACAATACCACAAAATACAGAGTTATTCAATACCATACAGATTAATATTCCTTCAACCAATGACATTTAATACCAATAATCTGCCAATTTTAATTTATGCAAATCTTCACATTCTCTGTGTCATCGAAACTATGCCTTTAACCGGTGACATTCATGCCAACAATCCGCCAGTTTCAATTTATGCAAATCTTCATATTCTGTATCATCGAAACATTCAAGCTTTCACTATTTCTAGTAGCCCAAAAGCACATTCATCAACTGTCAGTTCAGAGAACGGAAAATGAAAATGCAAACGAGGAAAACATAAAATATGAAATGAATTAAAAACTGTTTGAACCTTTGGTCGTTTAATTCCAACAAATTTGAAATAAAAAGCTTTCATTCGAGCATTTTTGCCATTTCAAAAATTTTGTACTTCACCTTGTTCTTCACTATGTCGATGGTACACATCATTTGGTTCAACCTTTTGCTATGCATCGCTTCAGCTCAGAATGGAACTTTATCTTCACTTGATCTCACCACTGATAACTCTGTTGTTCATTATCCTATCATTCCCATCCGTTTTCAACCGTTTACTGTTCCCTCTGATGGATTTTCCGGCCTGAGAGGAACAGTTAAAGTAGTCCAACCAAGTCAGCAGAACAATGAGGACGTCATAGAAGACGATGATATTCCAGATGACTTCCATTGGGTACTATTTGGCAATAAGAATAAAAATCGAAAATTCAACCGAGTCAGTCGAGCAATGAGGACG